ACCTCAACACCGAGCTAGGGGAATTCACTGGGGTTGTTCAGACCCGGAGAACTCCAGCCTAAGCTGACAAGTACTTCAATATTCCAGGACCGGGACCGGAAAAGCTGCCTTGCCCAATGTGCATCCACCTTTTCCCTCTCTGCAGCCCCACTCCCTTCTCCACCTCTTATAAAATCAAAGAAGCCCAGGACAGAAAATTGCTTATTTGAAAAACCAATATCCAAATGCTTTCATCACTCAAATGCCCTTTTGAAAATATTGTCGACGGTGGTTATTACCCCGACAATGCTGTCAATTTCTGTAGTCTGCAGAAAATCTTCCCTCAGATAGAAAAGTAGGACATTGGGCACCTATCTCAAAAAAATCAACCAATTTCCCTTCCACCGGATATATTTTTCACCCAGACAACACTTTCATTAAGGGGGAAATAGCCATCAACAATTCAAAGCCAAATAGAAATCAACTTCACACAAAGAGGAGCCACAAATTTAATAGCTTTCTGGGAACATACCGTTGACATAGTTGGTGCAATTCTGGTCCCCCCCCTCAATATGGAAGCCGGTGCCCCTGAAGCTCTCTAGGGGGCCCTAGGCCATAATACTCCTGCAAATCTGACAAAGGGGGAATGAACCACCCAAGTGCTTCTCACACCTCCAAAAGCTGCTTTCTTTGCCTTTTGAGAAAGTGTCTGAAAGTGGGAAGGTACACTTCTCTCTGCCCCACAGAGCTCTGGAACTTGCCATGGGACCTACAATCAACTCTCAGCTCTTCTGTGCTGCTACGGTATAGGCCCTTCCAAAAATTTAGGCTTGATTCTGTCTGGAAGGCTGATCTGGAGAAGAAGAGGGAGAAAATGTAACCTCAGGGGGAAGTTTTTCTTGCTGCTTCCAAGAACTAGCTTTAACAGAAAACATTGCTAGGCATTGTTAGTCATGATTGGGTAGATATTTTTATTTGTTTTACAGAGTAAGTTCAAGTTGATTAAAACTTCCAGTGAGCAACTGACTTAATTTTCAAAGGACAGGCAGTACATGTACCTAGTGCAAAGACTACACTAGATCCAGGTGTGATCTCTCCTGTTTTCTCTCAGCCCCCATGTTCCCTCCATGTTCATGATGAGTATAATTCACCTAAATGGTTTACCTGCTAACACTGCAGAATTGGTGGCATTGTGGGTATATTCACTACTTTTTAAAACTCAGTTAAACAATTGGTGCAGATTCATATCTTAAGGACACCTTAAATTCAAGAAATACATGGTACAAATGTTCTGTCATAAAATTTTGATAGGATTTTCAATTCTTGCTCATTTTGGCTAAGAAAGCAACTACATTATTATTTTAATTCTTAGAAAAACTGGTGGGAGCCCTCTCATTAGGAAAACGCTGTGAATGTATGAATGGATTGTATAACATCATTTGTCCCTCTGCCAGATTGTCTGGACCAAATTTCTAAGTAGCTTTTTTCATTGGCATGCTCAGGGTGTGATACCTAGACAGAGTTCTCTCTTTGAGAATTATTCCAAATAAAATGTCACATTTCCTAATGGGAGGTCCTCTCCCTGTTTCCTGGCCTGGTCTTAAGCTTGATCCACTTGGGACAACTCGGGTTTTGAACCCATCTTCCCATTTCTTAAAACCAAAACCACATTTTTCTAATTTACCCAATGCACACATAAATTCAAGTAAAATGCTTCAGTCTGGTTATCTCATTACACCATATTCAAAATGACAGGAGACTAAAGACTGAAGGGTTGTTTTTTTAAGTTATGCTTATTGTTTTTCTTCTGTTGAATTCAGATATTTTAAATCTGCCATATGCAACATTGAGTAAACAAATTTCCTTACACTTGTTTTTAAAAGATGGTTTCTTATCCCTAGGTATTTAGGGTTAGAGCTTGCCCTATGTTGAAATTTGAACATTCAAGATAATGGGTTTCAGAAGGTATAATTGCAAACATATTTGTAATTAGTTTCCCACTGCAATATAAAAATAAGTTTCTGGTATGAAAGAGGACAGACACATCTCTCAAAAAACACATAGTAAATAAGAATCTTCAACTCAGAACAGGCATTCACAGAACCCTGGACCAAGAAACATACTTCAAGAACATTCCCTCATACACAGGTAGGAAACTATGGTGTTAAGTATGAAGCTTGATCTACTGGACAGAGGGTTGTTTGTCCTAAGAATGTCTCTCAAAATTTAGGAATATCTAAGTTACTTTTCTATAAGCAGTAACCTAAATATTTCTATATAAGAGATTTCTAAGCCAGCCTTGCTTAAAATGTGGCAGTCACTTCTCCTGGGACATACCTAAGCTTCTACAGCCATAAAGTGAAAGGTATGCTGGAAGCATTTGTGAGGAGAGAAGCACAGAGAGAGGGCTCTGGTCATTTAACTAGTGGTATAATTCACAAAGGCAAAAAAACACTGCTTATCAAATTCCTCCCTGGCTCAGGCCAGTTCAAGGAAAACATTAAATATAATGTTTGCTACTCTTGCCTTCATGGAGTACACCTTGAAGCAGCTCCTGATAATCTGTGTGCATCTGTTGCAAGTTTTTGCAAAAGGCTGGAATGTTCTAGGGTGCAGCCTCAAATGAGTGATCAGTACAGTTACTATAGCTAGTATTTAATGAAACCCATGGGGGTGGGCTTTTTCCACTTTTTTTTAAATCTGTTTGTTGCCTTAGAGTTTTAATCAAGAATCCCTGGTTCTTCATTTACCTGAAGTCACCCTCACATTAGCTGCCCAATTCATCCCTTAAATCTGTTCCTATGGTAAAAGTCAGCTTCCTCCTCCAGGAAAACAGCCTAAATTTTCCTGGCAAATGACTGTAGGGTTACAATCCCTGGAAACACTGTTTTGGGTCACAGCCATCAGCCTTTTGTTTTTGTGGTGCGTGTGGTTTCTAATCCCCGACATACAAAACAACTTTAGATTAGAAAGAAAAGAACGGACTTCTAAATAGCCTTCTCTGTTTTATTGTTCACATTTCGTATTGTTTTGAGTGAAATTGGAAAAATTGTCTCCTTTCTCTGTATTGCCAAAAGGCATTCAGGTAATGAAGTCTGTAACTAAACGGTAATTGAATCAGCATAATTTGCACACTGAATGGTTTTCAAATGCTCCCAGTTTACAATTAAAGGAGAATTAATGCGCTTGTTGTTGAGAACGCGGCGCATTAGAATAAATCCAGCACTGTTGTTGTAATGAGTGGAAAACGGTTTAACTGCCAACAAACACATTTAAAATTTAACACAACGTATTGATTTCACTTCTGCTTTTGATAGATTATTTTCCAGACTATCGAAATACTTGCTTCAAGCAATAAACTGCACCACAGCCGAGAGCCCTGGCCGTTTGTATGGAGCACAACCCAAGAACGTAAGAACAGTTCTGAGGTCCAGGTCATTCCTAAAGGTGTGCGGAGGAGAGGGGGCGCACGGGTTAGGACTATCTGGGGAATCTTAATATTCCTCCCCTGCCGCTACCACTTTACGCTCCCTCCCCCGTCTAGCAATAAAAATTTTGTATTTCCTCTGACCGAACTTTCTGCCCTCTAACTCCGGGTTTCCAATGTCAGCGGGCTTACTGGACACAGGTGGGAGCGCCAATGACAGAAAACGGGAAATGGGCAGGACACTCTTTGCATTTGGTCTGCGTTGCAGCGGGGAAAGCACTGGCCGACGATGGTGTAAGAAAGGCTGTTCTTTTGGATTGGCTGCCCCGGCTTTCACCTGTTTACCTCTAGGTGTCCTGTGCGCTAGGATATTGATGCGCAGCGCCCTCTGGCGTCCGCGTCAGGCGATAAAGGTGCAAAGACGTTGAGAGTTCTGGAGCTGAAACCAGAACCCAGAAAACACACTCACGCTCGCGCGTGCATAGGTACAATGTCCACACAACTCTCAGTCCTGCAGTCATGTGCCTCAGGTCAAAGGCCGGAAAACGCTGCCAGCTGTTGGGATGACAACTCTACTGCTTCCAGGCTTGTGGATTCTAAAGCTCTCAGTGCAAGAAGTTTACACCATCCCTAATCCCCTTTACCCTGTCGGGTTAGCAAACTCCAGCAGCTTCCACCCTCCTCGCTCGGCGGCAAACACCTTGAGGTCTTGGTGCACTCCTGCAGGCCTGCATGAACTGTGGGGTTCAGGGCACGGAGTCCAACTTCATCAACAGAGAGCGAGTGTCAAGCTCTCTAAGAAATCACACTCTTTGGCTCGCTGTCGTGTCCACAGCTCCCCTCACCACAACAAAGCGCTTTACTCTGAGCCTGTTCTAACACTGTGCCAAGTCCAAACCTGCAAAAAGTGGTTTTGGAGGACCAGGAAAGTGGCCCTATGTAAGATTCTCTCCCTGGCGACAAGGCCTGCCATTTTCTAATAAGAGTTTCCTCATTAAACTTGGGTTTAGTTATTTGGTGGACACTAGAGGTTGGGCGGGGGGGCATATTTGCTAGTGTATCGCTGACCTAACTCTATAGGGTCGCTTACTGTGTGCCCGATTGGTAAGCTTATGCTATCTGCACACCTATGAGTCTCAGAAAGTTGTCTGCACTTCTTCGTATACCACATCTCCAAATGGTGGAGTCTTGGGTAGATTCCCTTTCAACTCTCCAACCCCACCTCCGTTACCTATCTTTTAAAGTCTGTGGATGAACTAAAAATTCCATGCTTTGCACCATGTCTCATTTCCCTTATGCCCCCAAAGCATCCGGTCCCACTGTCTCTTCAGTTTCTGAAAGTCTAGGGTACCCTAACTGCTGTTTAGAATCACACTCAGAAGATGGGGAACTGGCACAAGAAATGGGGATCAGAGCCTTGAAAGATCTAGTAGGAATCCGAAAACCAGTTTCCCAAAGTTCTTCCAACACAGTAGTTACTAGGAACACTGCTCTCGCTGAACTGGCGGTCTAACCCTCCTCCGGCGCATCCCTATTTTGCTTGGTCTCTGGGCTAGAGTGAAATTTCAAAGACGCTAGACCCGCTGCGACTTACCAAGTAGACGGTGGGCTGCAGGAGGAGAAGCACGTACCAGCACGCAGCCTGCATCCTCCCTCCTCTCAAACTTCCTTGCCGGTGCCTTCGCAGAGTCTTTGTTCCTTCAAAAACATAGATCCACCTGACATCCACTTTACAGAGCAAGGAGCGCTCTCAGCAGCCTAGATACAAATGAAATTAGACATCCCATGACCACGCGGGCAAGGTTGGGCTTAGCGATCAAGCGAGGAAAGGGGGTCTTGGCATGGGGGTTTAGAGCCAAAAAAAACAAAAAAAAAAAAAAAAAAAAAAACCCTGGGAAGTGAGGCAAGAGGATTTGAAAAGCGAGTAAGTAAATCCTGCGCCTGAAGCCAGCGAGTGAGCGGTCCACAGGCGGACTGGCGCGAGCAAGGACTGGGGGCTCCTTGCGCCCCGCGCTTCTCGGATTCCAGTTCAGGGCGGTGGAGGCCGGCCGGAAGCAATTGAGTACACCGTGAGAGCTGCGAGCAGGCTGGTTAGGGAGCCCAACTGTCTCTGGCAGTCAGACCTGCCCTAATGTTTGACAGCCGGGCGGCTGAGACTAAAGGCGGCGGCTGGTTCTTCGCCAGCCCTGGCAGGGCTCACACACATACACATGAGCAGAGAGAGACAGAGAAAACGAGAGAGACTGAGTAAGACGGGTGCGGAGAAAGGGGTAGGTAGCACTGACCAGGATTAGGTGCCTATATGTCCACGCGCGTTGAAGTGGGGGTGGGGTAAAGGAATGCAATTTGCATACAGGAAAGCAGGGCTCAGTTTCCCCTTTTGAGCTCCTGCACACACACAGTGACACAACCACAGCACTTTTTTGAGCCAAGGGGCACAGACAGTTGCTAACTTTTAGACTGGAAACCTTCCTGGGACTCTGAGGGTCACCTGCCAGACATACCCAGTACCCCAACCAGAGTCCCTCCCAGCTGCCCTGCCCCGTGATTACCACCCTGCCCTAAGGTGTCCCTGCAGAGAACTGTAGAGGCGCTGGGTACATACCGCACAGGACTGGAGGCGAATGTAGCGAGCAGGGACCTCTCTGAGAAGGCTCCATGGAGGAGCTACTGGGGCCTGGCGTCTCCAGCGCCTGGGACGTTCCTTTCCTGGAGCTCGGTCTCCATGCTCCGCTGAGGACGGGTCCAAGTGCCTCGTCCAGCCTTGGTGGAGTCGGTGTCCCAGTGCCCGGGTCGCGCTCGGGATTGGTCCGCCGGAGCTTAGGCTTGGTACAGTTGAATTCACAGTGCAGGAAACTTAACAGGCAAGAGAAGGAGGGGCAAGAAGAGAAGAAAAGAGAGGAAGAGAGAAAGGGAGGGAGAGGGGCGAATGTGCCGGGCTGCTGCGCCCGACAGAATCGGACTGCCAGTGCTGGCACTGGGACCAGCAGCCCAGGATTCCCGGCTTTCTGCGGTTGCCAGAGGATGGAGAATGACTTAAGGGGAGGAGACTGGGCAAGTCCTCGCGACTTGGACTTGAGCGATAACACACGGGTCTTTCTGAAGAGAAAAAGCCACACTACAGGCGCGAACAGTCCCAGTTTCTGAAGGAGGGGTGTGGTGGCGAGAATTTGGAGGCTGCTAACACTGGAAGCAGCTGCAGCTCTTGCAGGGCTGCCGGAAAGCCCAAAAGGCGCTCAGGAGTGGAGTCGTGGGTGCTGTCCGAGGTCCTGCCCGGCCACCGGGGGACGCTATGGCGAGCACTATTTTAGCCAGCCGCCAAGATCCGGTTTTCTCCGCAGGGTCCCGGCTGGTGGTGCCTACCTTCCGGACATAGGCAATTACATTGGCACGTGGGTGAACGATTCCTCAAAGGCTAATTAATACCTATGTACATAGGTTCCGCTCCGGGCTCTCTGCCGGCCTGCCTGGCCCGCAGGGAGAAGTGACTCCTGCAGCGTCTCCGGTGGCCCAAGCGCCCCCCTGGGGCGGGAGGGAGTGCATGGGGAGGCGGGAGACCGCCTGGGGAGTGGCGAGGAGTGAAGCAGGGAGATGCTCAGGGCAGGGATGGGTACCGAAGAGTGCAAGGCGCGCCAGCTGGCTTCGGGAGGGGCACTGCAGCAGCAAACCTCCGACCTGTGGCTGCGGTGGCCAGAGGCGGGGATGCTGTGGATCGCCAGCCATTCAGTGCGCGCGAAAGCCAAGAGGACTGCGCGACCTTGGGCTCTCTGGACTCCTCTCACCGGGCTGGCAGAGCGAGAAGGGGAATATCTTCTAAATATTCATATTCATTCTCTCTCTCTCTCTCTCTCTCTCTCTCTCTCTCTCTGTGTTGAACCCAGGGCAAATGTCTGCAGCAGCTTAAACCATCAACCACTCTCTTACTTCAACCCTCCCTCCCTCCCTTATCTATATATTCTCTGTCTCTGTGCCCTGGCATCTTTATGTCTCTCTGTTTCAAAATTTATCACTTCCAGTCTCTGTATCTCTATGCTTTTGCCAGCCCCCTATCGCTCCCCCTCAATCCTCAAACTCATTTCTTTTCTTATGGCCTCCACTTCTCAGGCACACCACCTTGGGATAGGCTTCCAGTATCTGGTGAGCATTGAAACCAGGCCTTTCCTCTGTGGACAAGCTGCCAGCACCTCTTTCTCCATGCCTTCACTCAGGCCACAGGGGTGAACATCACTGATACCTGTTCTCTCCCACACTCTGCTGGTTACTTCTCTTGTCCTTTGCCAGAACCTGGCCTTGAGTGATGCACACTGCAGGGCAACATTTTGATATAAGCCTGTAGGTACTGGATTAAAATTTACCTCAGGAACTGGAGTTCATAGCATCAAAATAGAGTCATGGTTTTTAATGAACTTTAGGGGTCTTTTCCCCAAGTGTGGCTCTTGGACCCCTCAGGCTCTATGTGTTCTGCTCTAGTTGATGTGGACCCAGACACAGTGTACCTACCCTTTAAACAAGATGGTCCAGAGTAACCATAAACTTAATTTCCCTGGTGAGCACAGGCTACCCCCCAAACACACCAGTGACAATCACCAGAAGTCCTATCCCCTGGAGCAGATGCAAGAGGATCCCTACTGAGAATCAAATCTCAAAAAGACTGCAAATTAGATTCCACGGCAGGACATAGCTTCCCTTGCTTTGAGGCCTGTGCTATCTTCCCATTAAAAATAGCTCTTTAGAGAGCAAGCTCTCCTAATTTCAAAAGTTGTCCCCTGCCACAGTGACCTCTTGGAATTCATTAGGGCAGAGGCAGAGTAAGAGGGTGAAGCATGCCTTCTAATTAGGACCCTGGAGCTGTGTTATGTACACATGTGCCTTGTCTCTAAAGAGGACTTTTCAATGTTGATTTAGCGCTTATCATTTACTAGGTTTTTATGTACTTATGTACTTCAAATGTTTAAAGAAGAAATATTGAAGTCTGAAAACATGTATATCGAGGGCTGAAGGAGAAAATGAATCAAACTTTTGTCTGTTCCCCCCGCCCCAAGACCCATAAGTCCATCCTGAAACAGATTGCCACTGGTAATGGGGCTCCCAGGCCCTTCCAGGCTGGAGTATAGAAAAGAAGTGGATGTTATCTGGATGCCTAAGTACAGCACAGTCAGAACTGGACTTCTGTCTGCCCTTTGGGAAATGCAAATGAAAAAAAGCCAACTTTGGAATATACCAAGTTCTTCTCTAAATTTCCTTCAAGAGCATTCTGCTTCTGCAACCATTCAGCTGTTAAAAAAAAAATACTACTTGTGAAATAGAAAGATCAGGGACCTTAAAAATCTCTGCCTGAATGGAACTGATTATTTAAGAAAAGCACCACAGGAACCTAGCCATGGGAACTGGTCAGACACTGTTCCATGACACGGGTGCCAAGAAGCTTTTTATGTTAATGACCTGAGATCTTCTATCCAGACATTCACTCTTACAGATCCTACAAGATACTTGACCTGGGATATAAAACAAGACCATATTGTCATTTATTATGTATTATCACAGAAGTCTTCATTTCTGCTATACTCAAGAAGTAAAGGATCTGGAGCCACTTAGTAACACCAAAGAGCCTACAATCATTTATGCAAGGTCTCCTTAATTTTAATTACATAATATTGATGAGGAGAGGAATAAGGAAGACTTGTTCACCCCCCTTTTTCCTATTGTTTGCTTTAAAAAATCACAAGCAAGAAGAGTATTATTCTCATATATTTTTATGTTTAAAATAATACAGCATTTGGGGCCTGGAGAGATGGCTCAGTGATTAAGCATACTGACTTCTCTTGCAGAGGACCCAGGTTCGATTCCCCGCACCCACATGGCAGCTACGAACGGAACCATCCTCAACTCCAGTTCCAGGGAATCCAAAGCCCTCTTCTGACCTCCTGCGGCATTGCACAACATGGGTGCACTCACATACAGGCAGGCAATTGCAGCATTCTAAAATGCACAATGACAACAATCACAGAGACAGGACAAAGGTGCAGTATCTGAAGGTGGGTCATCCCTGTGCCAGGTTTTCAAGATTTATTCATATCAAAAGTCCTTTTGGAAATCACTCTTTTCATAAATTTTGTGTGTGTGGCACACAAACATAACTCCCTGTCACCTGCTTTGCCCTCAAGTTTACCTGGTCACATCTATAAGGAGTAATATAAAACCCATTTCTCTTTAGGTAATATATAATTCAAAAGAGTCCGATGGGGTACCCATTCCTAATAATTAAAACAAAATAAAGACTAAATTGAGAACTTATTTGAAGTATTCTGATAATTCTGTTAGACATAATTACCTTTTTTAATTGACTTAGACTCTTCTTTGGTAGGGGAAAGGGAGCACAGGGATTGGGGGTTGAAGGTTTGATTTATCTTAAAGCTAAGGAGAAGAAGAAAAACAGATTAACTTTGAATTTGAAAAAGTAAGGAAAGTCCTAAAATGAGCTTTTCTTAAAACACATGAATATCATATTTTACCCCAGATTCAAGTAAAACAGAAAACTGTCATTATGAAGCACCCCAGCTGTGATTTTGCTTAAGCTCCAGGCCAAATTATGTTTCTTTGTACATAGCATTGCATTGTACCTATTTTTCCTAATAGCTCAAAAATGTAAAGATGTATCATCTTTCTCCACTGAATTCAGTATAAGCTGATATTTGCATATGGCCTTGGGCAAGTGCCTAAAGATTCCTCTGGTCTCAATACTCCTCTGTCTAATGAGAAAGTAAGGTTAGGTGATAAATAAAATTCCTTTATTCTATTTCATATAATTAAATGGGAAATCATAGCCGGTTTAAAATTCTAACTGTCACAAGAAGCAAATGTATATTACATAATGATTTTTCAAGGATGCTTACAATTTAAAAGAACACTGTTTTGTTCAACACACTTCAAAGATTCTGAGTCAAGTGAATTTGTGGATTTAAATCCTTTTTTGTGCATTTCTTTCCTGCCTCATCCTCATAACCTTTCCTCTAGATCAAAGGTTGACTCTATTGTATCAATCATTCCACTTTCTCATATAAATTGTTTTGCACATGTTTTTAATGTCATTGATTTATGAGAATCTGCACTCAGAGTGGCATCCTTATTATATTTATGAATATTGGTTACAAAAGAGCCAAAGCTAGTTCTATTCCTCTTGCAGAATTCCTAAATGTCACTCAGGACAACTAAGAAATTCTCTGGGCCCTCTTCATCCCCCAGGTATTTTGCTAGTATGAGGAAGGAACATTTAAAAAGCAATTTTACCAGTTTAAAATATTTTGCATTTCAGTGTAGCTGAATTTGGTTAATAACTATGAGGTATGTATGCTAAATTACCACTACAAGAATGCTTTAATAACAAGATCACTGGACTAGAGTAAAAAATAGCCATCAAGTTCTGGAAAGAAAAAAATTAAAAAGAATCAAAAAGCTTGATATAAAAGACATTTTCTTTTCAGAACTAATTTATATGCTCAGTCTTTGTGTCCGTATTTCATTTATTCTGCTAGGTGAAGACTGAGAGTTCTCAAAGGTAGGTTAGTTTTAATTATGCTCACAAACTTTAAAAAGAGAATGAACACAGTAAGAGAAATTAAAGACAGCCAGCATGAAAAAAGGCAGTTGAATGTAAAAGATGGGAAGATTGAGGTCATAGCCCAAAAATCATAATTAATTTTTTAAAAATATTGTGACTAAACAAACCTTCACATTATAATCTAATTACAGAAATTTGTCATAATGGTCCCTCCAGGGATTAACTGACAGTTCCCTAAAGCAGAATCATTAAGACAAAAAACTTGATAACCAATGTTCTGTGAACAAAGCAAAATACAGTATTTGCTTTCAGTCAGAAAGAACACTGGACTCTCAGCCATGTGGAGATAGGCAAAATCATGAGAACAAAGGCTATCCAGCCTGCAAATTTGTGTATATTTCATCCGCATCATCTAGCAGACCTAGATATTTTGAGACACCAATGTTTTTCCAGCTTTTATTCAGATTTGACAATATGAAGACAGTCTAAAACAAGATTACTTAAACGGGCAGGGAACAAAGGCTACTTCAACTAAGCTATCATAAGGATAAGAATTTTTGCATTAGATCTTGTTTAAATAAGAGATCTCACAAGCAGTAAGCATCTTAATTTCCCTTTTTAGCATCAAATGAATGAAAACAGCTATCCTAAGATTTCACCATGATTAACTTCAGGAGTCAAGCCATAAAAATCACATATTACATTTTTCTGCTTCCAGTTCCAGTAATAAAGTTCAAAGCAAAATGGTTTCGCATCAATTATTTTTATTAAATGGGTGATATGCTGTCTTAAAACTGTAGTTCTGAAAAAAGATAATGGTTACCAT